AAATTTGGTATTACCACCGGTACTGCCCTGATGTTTGTATATACAGCAGAACTGTTCCCAACAGTACTCAGGAATACTGCAACAGGAATGTGTACTACTGTATCCAGAGTGGGAAGTTGTATTGCACCATTTTTGTTAAAGCTGAGTGAGTGAAGGAATGTTTCTCAAATCTTCATAAATAAGCATTTTATCAAGTATATCTAGTGGTCTGTATAGACTACAAATTCCCACACTACATTGCGTTGCATAAACACAAGGCAAAGGCCTTTCTCCAATCCTAATTGCTCCCTGTCATTGTGCAGGTCAGTACTTTAAATATCTGCCTTATATTACACTGGGGACTCTTGCTGTTGTGTCTGCCTTCGCTACTGTGTTCCTACCAGAGAGTTTCGGACGGCCTTTGCCTCAAACTATTGAACAGATGCATAAAAGAGAAAGGTGAGATCAGTTGGAAGAACATATGTAATATTTATTGAATGTGAAACTTGTCATAAAAACTTGACCTCAGACGTAGATCTCAGACTTGTGATAACGTAGTAACTCTGCAACTACAAAAATTGACTCTTAGTTTAAGTGTCTTAAAAGCACCAAAATAGCAATAACTAATTTGGCAGTAAACACAAAGATGGTGACACTTTTACAGACGTCCTTTCTGCAAAAACTAAACTGTGTTTTCTTTGTCTTTTGTCCCGCACAGAATGAAATGTCCCTTCATTACTAGAAAAGGACACTCAAAACACGTGAAGATTTTTGAAAGTCGACTATGATTGTTTCCAACACTGATGACTCACGAATATATTGTTTTTACTTCCTGTGTCTCACTGCTATGTTTTTGCTGTTCTTTGCATTGGAGTCAGTAATAACATGGTAATAAAGTTGAAGAAAACGAAGTAATTACACAATTTGAATCCAGACGATGTTGTTTTAACAGTGTGTATGACTGAAGGTAAACTTAATGTAACCAATATTTTTGGAGCAGCAGCTTGAATGTCCTTGCTGGTTAGCAGAACAGGCTGTCAGCAATTTTGCTATGTAATTTGGTTAATCTTGAAACATAAAGCATTATTTTATTACATGTTTGCATTTGTTTAATATGCAATATTTTCAATAGGGCTCGTTTGACAAACTCATAATTACTTTATGAACAATTTTCTGTAACTGAAGTCATAATTTATGAAGAATTAGTGAATTTGTTGTTGTGTGTAAAGATTGAGTACTGAAATAATGATTTAGTAATGACAGAAAATCTATCTCTTCTACCTACCCTTTCTTCATTTATTATGCTACAGCCACAGAAAGCACAACTGTGATTGGAAACTGCAGCATGAACAAAGTTACTGCAACCATGTGCAATAAACTTCATTTCACTTCATTTAAATGGTTGGTTTAACCCTTTCATGCATGAATTATAACAACCTCAATCAGGTTTTTTTCTTAAATATTTATATTCATCATCATGAATGAATGAATAATGAAACACGTCATACATCTATAGTAACATTAAACGT